CTAGGCAGCTTTTCTGGGGAACGTTACCCTCCTCAGGGACCATGAATATGAGAGGCTGAGCACCCAGGCAGCTCCCACGTAACACTAACAAGGGCAAGCAAGCGTCCCTGCCTGCCACCCTTCCCAATGACAGTTGGAAGGGTGTTATCCCCTGGCGATAAAGCAAGGCAGGAGTTACCTTGAGTTAATGAGGTATCAGATGCTCGCCTTCCTTCCTGGAAGCTGACAGGCAGGAGAGAAGCACCTCCCATGCAGCCCTGGGCTTGTAACACCGGAGCGTCAGACTGGGAAGCTAGGAAGGGTGACGTCACCCTAGCTGTAGCTGGGCTCCCCATCATTACTTGACCTGTCAAACAACTGCTCAGGGCCACTGAGCTGTCATTTGAAGATGAAGTAAGGCAGCTGTCTGAACTAGTTCCCTCTGTGGGGCTTGCTGAAGAGGAAATGACTATACCTACAGAGAGGAAGGAAGAAGAAAAAGAGCATTCCCAAGATGAGTACAGGAAGAAAAAAAAACTTGACATCAGAGCATTCTGCCCACCCACGCTGGCACTAATGAACAGCTGTGAGCCACAGAGGTGTCCAACAACTCATGTCGTAGCAGGGCACAACTCCAGCAAAGCGTCACCAACAAATAACCTAAGTTTGGGTTCCCGCCCAGCCAGCACTGCTCTGCCAGCAACTCCAGCGCCACTGGGTTATGCCAGATCAGGCCTGCAGTGCTTCTTTAGCACAATAGCCCTAACGGGGCAGTTTTGTTTTGTGAGCTTTTTTTTTGCTCATTTGTTTAGTTCAAGAGGTCTAGTTGTGTACCAAATACAGTTAGCGGTGTATTGTTTTTAAACTCAGGCCCCACGCACAACAGAAGGCAGTGAAAGCAAGCAGAGATGGGTTACGTCCTGCTTGTGAGGATGTTCCCCTCTAAAATGACCTAGATGTAATACAACAGTGCAGTGTCTCTTCCTGAAGATCCATGCTCATTTACGGAAGGCAGAACTGAGGAGGGCAGAGTGCAGACCACCGGGCTTTTCTACCCCAATCAAGGCAAAAATTAGCACATTGTCTCCGAGCATTTATTTGCCACGGCGCTCCTTCTCTGCCCCTTCCCTCTAGCTATGGACACCCTTCCTCCCTCACAGACTTACTTACATGGAGGGGCATGCTGATAGAAATGAGTGGTGACTTCAGCCAGTGTGTGCCTCCTGCTGGTGTTGTTAGGGATACGGATGGGGTCGTACGCCTTAATTTCATCCTCCAACTCCTTCTCTTGCCTTACTTCTTCACTAATGGTGGTTTCCAGCAGGCTGTTGGGGGAAATGGATCGGTTCCGGAAAAGTCCGTTGAAGTTGGGATCCACAGGAAAGAACATAGGCTGCAAAACATGTCAGTTTACAGGGTGAAGGGTGCTTCACTTATTTCTGCACTACTTGGTAATGCTCTCTATAGTTCTCTGGCATGCCTTTAACATACATATTGTTGAGAGGATACTACAACGCCATGCCCAAACGCTGAATAAAAGATTCAAGGGAGAGAACAGAGTCACAACTTCTCTTTTTCAGATCAGTATAAAAAAAAAAAAATGTTGCACATAACTTAGTTGAGAACACCAACCTGTAATGGATTGTTCATGTCACAGTCCATTTCTGCCTGCAAGGGTGGCTGAATTAGACTTTGAGGTTGCTGGTAAAGCAGAGATGATCGCAGGGTTTCACTAGTGAGACCATCCTGAGGCATCTGAAGAGAGAAAGACCCACAGAAGCCATCATACACACTGCAGTTCCAGGTGACTTTTCAAACACTATCAGCTCAAGGAATTTTAGACACTTTCCCTGCAAGCTTTCTCCATGCAGGTTCCATCAAAATTAACAAAGTTACTCTTTCAATGCCTACACAAATGCAAAGCTCCTTCTCTTAAGTAAGGCAATTAAACTGGAAGTGTAATTTGAAAGGGCATTCGGAGTACCCTTTAAAGGGGGAGAGGAAAAGAAAGAGAAAGTCAGAAAAACATACAAACTGACTCACGGAATACTTCTGAGGATCCTACAGGGTGTGTAACAAAGAAGAGTAACTGATTCATGCCCGAGAGGGCAAATTTCCATGTGAGACCTAATCCTCTGGCTCATGAGTGACCAGCACCAGAAGCAGAATATTCTTTGGACCATGATCTATAGCCCCTCGTTAGGAAATGGGTCATTAGTATTTAATCAGCTTTCTGCTGAAGAACAGTAGGCCTTGTCCTCTGGTTAGAGGACACAAAGATCAGAACTGACTCTCAAAAGTCTCACAGTTACCATCTTATATTTTCCCATGGGAAAGAACAGGAAGGAGAGGGGGGGGGAAAAAAGAGAGAGAGAGAGAGAGAGAGAGAGAGAGAGAGAGAGGGAGGGAGAGAGAGAGAGGGAGAAAGACACAGCCTTCCAGGAAAATAATTCACTTCTTTACCTCAACATTGCTGATGTCAGAGCTCCTCGGCCTTTGTTGACGGCCAGTTGCTGGACGACTCGACAGCTGGCTGCTTCGATACTCCTTAAGGCGCTCCAAGAGCAGGTAATAAATTGCAGCAAAATGGTTGTAGCTGCTGTTTTGTAGAGACTAGAAGATATTGAGAGGAGCATGTTGCTATGGATAACTCAGGACATAAACAGCCAAAATTCATCACGAAGACGGCACAACAGCATACTCAAAAATAATTTAAAAAAAAAAATCAGAAGAGCAGTGAAGATTTTATGACACTGACACTGCATCAAGGCTTGTCACTGAATAACATATATAATATGACTGCAGTATCAGATGTCTGATAGTCAGCGGGAAAGCATCTAAGGTGCAAGCGCTTCTCACCTCAACAGTTCTCTGCCTGTCAATGCCAAGTGTTTGCATGATTCCAAGGACCTGCTCGTTGTAGTCACCCAGGTTGGAATTGTAGTTTTGCATGGAGAAGGACAAAGACTGCTGTTGTTGGAGAGACGGGTCAGCTTGCATCCACTTGTGCTGCTTTATTTGGGAAATGGTTATTCGCTTGGTTGGGTCCACGACCAACATCCGTCGGATTAGTGTTTCACAATCTGGATGACAAAGAAAACCCATAAGCAAGGGATAAGAATAACAGTCCAGCCCCAGGTCAGTACTAAGAAGCCTTCCCAGTAACACTACTTCTGAAGTCTATGAAAATGGGAATTAAAGGTTTCTGAGCAGCTGATGCCAGGTCTTACTACCATATAGTCTAGCATCAGCAAGATCTTGAAGTAAAACCCACAAGAAGCTTACATATACTCGATAAAACCAACATGTCATTACAGCAAATAAGCCTGTACTGCATATCAGTAGAGTTCAGATGAAGTTCTCCTTCAAGGTGAAAGGTATTTTGAGCGGATGCAGTTTACTGATCTTGCATCCACTTGAAATAGGTCAGAATTTAGCACAGAACCCAATCATATACAACTCCCTGATCTGCACATACTGCTTATTTGTATATAACCAGGGAATCAAATCTGCTCATGGCTAGAACTGGTAAAGGCCAGACTTCAAAAGATAGTCTTCATCTCAGGAGAGAGACGCATCTGCTTGTTTTTGAATCTAAATCATCAGAGAGGTGATAATACTCTTCAGTTCCTTTTCTCACCAGACTGTTTAAGTGTGAGTGTTCAAGAAACAGTGCTAAGCCTCACCATTTCTGCTCTCCTTGACAGCATAGCCACACTGAAATACACCCCTTCTGCAGAGTTAGAACATTTCAGAACTACGCTCATCTCAGCATTGCAGACGAGTCTCATTAAAACCCTTTTCTCCCCTTTCTTTTGTAAGGGGCTATTGCTCCAGCCAGGGTGTTAAATATTTTTGTAATCCATAGAGATATTCCAAGAAGGGAAATGACAGCCTTTTAGATGCACCATAAAGGAGATCCCAGAACAGAAAACATGTGCAACCATCCCCTCAACTATAAGTGCTGCCCCACAGAAATTACTGGATACCTGAGAAAGAAAGTGATTGCCAGCTACAAAACCAGCCCCATCTGTCATCTCCCCAAGAAGGAACATGACAGCTGTTCCCTCCTAATCACCCCTTTATTCATAGCCCCTTTTCTAACAGTAAGGATCTGAAAAAAGCACCTTCGGACATGAAGTAAGGGATGCGGAACCGCCCCTCCAGCACTCTTTGCCTCAGAGTTGGTAAATTGGGTCCATCAAAAGGCAGAGAACCACAGACAAGGACATACAGCACCACCCCAAGGCTCTGTCAACAGAAAACAGCATAGCCCGTGAGCGATTCCAGTAGAAGCAACCATCATGAAAGCTGGCAGACCCTAACAAAGCGTGAAATGCAATTTCTAAGGAATATCAAGCTCACCCATATATCAAGGTGGGGTCCTTCATACTCCTTGCCTTCAAAAACTTCTGGAGCTGCATAAGGTGGGCTTCCACACCAAGTGGAGAGAGGCTCTCCTGATTTGTAGAAATTTCCAAAGCCAAAGTCTGTAATGGAGGTAAAAGCTTGGAGTGAGACATCACTAAACCACACATCAACGTTTCAGGAGCAGCAAAAGAAGAGGGAAGGGAGCAGATGTGCTGGTCAGTTCTGGGCCTATTCATTTAAGCTATTCTCTTTTAAATAGAGGTTAACTTTGGAGAAACATCAGTAACTATTCTTTTATTTTTAGTTACAATGCATCTATAGGATCAGCCTAGGAAGATGGAATGACTATGTGTCAGATGTTGTTTATAGAGTAACCACACATTTCTTATTACCTGCTAACTTGATATTCATGTTAGCATCTAGCAGAAGGTTCTCTGTTTTGAGATCCCTATGCACTATATGGTGGCTGTGACAATATTCCACTGCTGAAAGGATCTGCCAAAACTTCTTCCGTGCTTCATTTTCACTCAAGTGCCCATTGGAGGTCAGATGATCTGCAAGACAAAATAGAAGAGGCATGAGAATTAGGAACACCTGGAATAAGTTTTCATAATCATGCAGGTACACGTTTTTAATCGGAATATAAGTTAGTCGGGAATGACAACAATAAAGCTGCAGTTTCTAAATCTAATTACTGTTAGCCTCAGTAGCGAGAACTTACCAAACATTTCTCCATTCTTTGCGAACTCAGTAACAATGTAAAGCATATCTTTTGTCTCCATAACCTGTCAAGACACAAGAGAGGATATGTAAAAAAAATTCACACCTCTGTAGTTTGACTCATTTTTTAAAAAATGTATTCTCAAACATATCAGGTCATTTATTTCTTTGACGCAACAGCTGGCAGTAAAGGCATCTAACTTTGCACCACGATATTCTTTCCATGCAAACCGCTAATGAAAAAGATAACAAATCAATGCACATGCACCTGAAATATACAACGGCTTCTCACGTCCTTGTTCTTCTCACCATTACCATGTCACCTAATCTCCCTAAGATAACTGATAAGCATTTCAGGAACATGTATAAAATTACTGAATTTTTTTTGGTTAAAATATACACACAGTTTTACAATTACTTTGGCATATGTGTACCTGCAAAGACACTTGAAGTTTAATTTAAATCTTCTTTGTTTCAAGGCTAGCAGGTACTCAGATCGGGAGAGATATTTTCAGCCTGGACAAATAAAGAAGTAGCATCGAATACCCCACTCCTATTTGGTACTGGCCAAGTATATCGTAGGCCTGCGAGGCAAGTAACAGTAGCTTGCTGTTTGCGCAACTGCAGCACTTGATGCAAGTGAACAACTGCCAATATGCAGCCAAAAGTGTTATCAATCTACTACCAATTTATTTTTACAACACTTGATATTGGTTTAACTATCATAGAAGGAGGTGGGATAAATCTAGTCAAAATAGTGCATGTCATTGGAGGAAAAATAAATAAATAAATAAAACCCCAAAACAAAGCTGAGTATTTACAAATTCATCTTCAGTTCCTATGGCACATCTTTCAAATATTGCACTCCCCAGAAACTGGATGCTCAAGGAGTAGATTTTTTTTTTTTTTTTTAAGAGGCAAGAAGCTCACGAAAGTTTAAAAAAAAAAAAACCCAACAGACAAAAAACAAAAACAAAAAACCAACCATCAATACTACTTCAAAGGTCCTAATTTCCAGCCCTCCTACCATGCAACCTTTTTCAAAGACTCTTGTCCTCCCTTTACTACAAGTACACACAGACACAAAACGAAAACAAACAAAGAAGGAGCAAAGGAAGAGAGGTTCCCAGTTTTACAAAACTGAAGGAAAGTGTTCTGGGAAAGATGCCAGCTGGATAAAATTAAGACACCATGCTGAAACTAAAACAATGATGAAATAATACAAGAACACACACCCTACACTGGTATGTCATCTAATTCTATCCCTGCTTCTCAGTCTCCACCAAACAGGTGAAGCATCAGTTACAACAACAAAGAAAAGAAAACTTTGCTGAAAAGAAATTATGGTCCACTACCAACGTCATTTGCTCAATCAAGTGAAGTGGTTCAACTAGATGGAATTTAACCTGCTTCTACAAAAGCTTTGAAATAGTATTTTCACCCACATCATTCCACTAAAATGAAATCAACAGAACTGTTAGAATGTTTCTGTACATCCTATACTACCCTATGGGCAGCAATGACGTCAAATGTTACTGCAGAATAATTTTTCTTATGATGGTTAATACTATAAATATCAAGTACTTCACATGTGTCAACGTCTTTAAAAATAACACCTTGCCTAAGCACCTGCCTTACTGGCTTTTCAACCTTACACGTTTTTTTTTCTTTTAAGCTAACAAACCCAATGGTAAGACTGGAGCTGATAATAGCGTTTACTACTGCACACAGAATTTCAGATCTGCTGCTTCATTTCTTAATCCATTCCTCTCCCCTCATGCCCTTCTATACAGGTCCAGACAGACTCTGATACCCCATCTTCTTCTTAAATTCACATGGCACTACTTAAGACCAATTAAGAGGAAATTACACCAAATACTAATTAGATCAAATATTTAGACTTTGCAAAGCAGTCCTTGCTCACTAGACAGCTGTGATCCTGTTTTCTGCATAACACATTAATTTGTTCTTACTAATAAAAAAAAAAATACCCACCTGCAGGAACTGAACAAATCTAAACCAAAATTCACATTGTGAGACTCAGCAGTGATAGACACTTTAAATTCCCTTTCAAAACTATGCAAACTAGAATAGAATAACCAAACAGGTCACTTCCTGACATATCCTGAGATATGAGCATTTACGGGCTTTTTCTTTTGTACTTAGATTGACTGGGTTTGTTTGTTTTTGTTTTTTAAATCTGTTTCACTGATGGCAAATGCAACTAATGCACTTGCTACTGTGATATCCTGAAGAGTCTAAGTCTTCCTCTTATCAAATAAGATGCTCCAGTCTTCTAAACTGGAAAAGCAGAGGAGTTCGCAAAGACAATTTAATCAGAGAAGAACAGGTGATCAGTTCCTCTACCCGAAGCAAACTTCAGTCTGTTTTTTATTTTAAGTTCTGTAGAGCATTTTGTCAATACGCTGCCTAATGTACCAGAAACTTGTTCAAAAAAATGCTGCATGTATTTTAAAAACACCAGTTTGTTACAAGTATACTTTTCAAAAACTGTTCAAATATGCATTCTCTCTACAACTATTCAATGTAAAATCATGTGCAAGAGAAGACCACAAGCTCATCTCATCTACATACTGCACTCCAAAGCTGACCTCTTACCTGATATAGCTTGATAATGTTGGGGTGATTCAAAAGCTTCATTATCTGAACTTCTCTATAAATCTTCTCCAGATTGCTGGGGTCTAACCTCGTTTTGTCTATTATTTTTATTGCAACCTGTGAATTAAGAAAATAAAAAAAAGACTTACAAAACAGATAGTCCTACTGTTAAAATCTCTTGCAAAAAACAAACCAACCAACCAACCAAAAACCACCAATTCATAAAATCCAAGTAAAGTAGCCTCAAAAGCACAGGCTCAAAGCCGATTCTGTTTTTCTGAACTGCAGAAAATTCACAACACAGAACGTTTCATTTTTCTTTTCTACGTCAAAGGACTACACATAAGGTAACGAACAGAACTGCAGAAATTAGCACTGGACAGGATTCAGCAAATCTTGTAATCCATCCCATGCTAGTGGGAAATAGTTTCTTATAAAAGATTATTTTCTACTATAGCAACCAATATGATTTTAACTTACAAATGGAAATACAACTGATGTACATTAACAAATTGCTTTTGCAAATAGGTTAAACAGTGTGAGATCTGCGTTTCTGAAACACGTACACTGCATGAAAAAATTAAGCCTGTCTAAAGTCTACAAAACGTCCTTAATGGGCTGGACTCTTAGCAAACTAAGACTGAGTAATTCAATGAAGCTATCACAACACCTAGCAATGTTATCTTTAATATATTCTTGCTTTGTTTTAGTTTTATGTCAGCTCTTTTTAACGCATCAGGAAAACTTTAAGTTCCCAAGAACAGCCACATCAACTATTGCTGTATAGTCAGCAAACCGTGCTGAGTCTGCTGGTCCACCGGACTTTGCAAAGCTTTCTGCCTTTCTCTTCATCTTCAAAGTCAGTTTATTTTTCTATGTTTGCAGAGATAAACCGTCTCGCCACTGCCAACTCGGCAAACATCATGCCTTTTAACACACAACCCCCCCCCCCCCCCAACACCCCGCCCCCCCAACCCCCGCCCGTGTTTTGGTTACTCTGTGCCTGGCCAGCTTAACCACCGCGAAATTGCCTTTCCCCAAGGTCCTCTCAATATCATAAAATCCAACTCGCAGCGGCCGTTGCTGGGCTTGACTCGGAGCGGGCACGGAGGTATACTCTGACATGATCACCATGATTTAGACGGGTGGTGGGCAAGGCACGCCGCGCTTACGAACTGAACATCGGCGCTGCCCTGGGCAGGCGGCCGCTCGCACCTGCAGGGAGACAACAGGCACACGCACACCCCCGCCCCGCGTCAGCCCGAG